CCCCCCCCCCCTCCTGCCCCTGCGCTTGTTTGTGAACTGCCCGCCTCCCCAGGCAGCTGACGCATGTGTCCTTCTTTTGCCTCCATTTCTCCGGGGGGCTGAAGTTCCATTGCTACAAGATCACCGGGGAGCTGAAGGACTTGCCGCGGTCGCCGGGTTGCAGAGAGGCGGCGGGGAGGTGTGCAGGGAGAGCCTCCAGCTTCTCTCCAAGCTTTTTGGCTTTAGGGTTTGGGGGGCGTGCAGGTGTTAGGTATGTGTGCAGGGAAAGAGCGGCCGAGGGGGGGGGGATGTCTATGGTGCTTGTACTGTTTTACAGAGCCTGGTGGGCATTGGCGAAGCTCCGTAGGGCGTGAGCCTACAGCTCAGGTCCCAAACGAGGATCGCACGCAAAGAGGCAAAGCCCAAACGTAAAGAAACAGTGGCACCTGCGATCGGCACATCTAAATCTTTGAGTTCGGGCTGCGGAGGATTTTGTACTCTTGGAGTTTAGAGGTCAGGCGTCGCCAGAGGCCCGAAACATATACATAGTATACGTCACCCAAGATCCGAAACCACATGCCCTGACTTCACAGCTTACAAAGGAATTGGAACCGTGAGTTTGGGTTAACAGGGGGTTGGGGTTCGTTGTTCCCCTCTATACTTGGAGCTCGGTTGTCCGACGTCCTTCGTTTCCTCTGAGCCGCGGCCCTTCTACCCGAAGCACGAACATCAGCAGCCTAGCCGGCTCACATTGTGCTGGGGTTAGATCTAACGCCAGTCTCTCTTCACCATGGGGCTGCGCTGAGCCTGCCTAGGACGCTGACGTCCGGTTTCATTGGAGATCTGGTTAATTGCGGGACCTCGGGTACGGGTAGGACGTGCTCCCGGATTGCAAGAAGGAACCCAGGCCCTGAACCCTGGAGACGGAGACCCAAAACCGTGGCATCTGGCTCTCGACCTGCCTTTTATGCAGGGACAGCGCCTAAACGTAACGCCTGAACCTGTAGCCTTAAACGCTCACCTTAAACTCTGAACATCTAAGCATGAGTAGATCAGCCCATTCAATGCCAAAAAACCAGAAACCTCACACCCTCAATCCCTCAACTTTGCGCTAGTACTTAAAAACTTGCCGGTTGAAAAAAAGCAAACTCTACCCTCTCAACCCCCGACCCTAAAGCCACACATTGACATCAAGACCTGTGCCCGCACCAAGGCCAAGAGCTTCGACAGCAGAAGCCAACGCAGAAGCCCAACCAGAACTGGTGGAGTTGAAGCACTGCGAGGCAGCGCGGGCTTAGGGTTTAGGGTTTAAGCTTTAGGGTTTTGGGTTTAGGTGGAGCCACCAGCGTTCATAGGTTCTGGGCTTGGGGTATAGGCTATGGTTTCGGGCGCAGTGTTAAGTGTTAAGTGGTTTTCAAGGCCGGCGGCCGGTTCTTGAGTTGAGGCTTGAAGCTCATGCGTCTAGGGTTTTAGGCTTTTAGTGTTTTAGG